GGGGTACAATGACAGGAATACCCCTGCCACTAGAAACAACAGAAAAAGAGTATTCTAACAGCACTATAATCAAAGTAAAAACATATGAACAAGTGGGAACCACAAGCTGGTCAACCATTTTCTCTACAGATTCAACACAGCGAAGAAAAAGAACACAGTAGGCTCCCCCTTTTGAATACAAAAGTTCGTCCAAAACTGAGAATAGGAACAACAATCCAGTAGATTTATTGTTTTAAGAGAAAAACCCTAGGAACAGTCTTGGAGAAAATTAAAAAGAGCAACCGCTCCTTACAGAGATTCCAAGAACCCTACCTCCTGTTACAAGTCTTCAGGAAAGTTGAAAAACTACCAAGAAATTTCTGGGCGGTACCTTCAATATGAGATTTAAGCTTTAAATCTCACTCGAACCTAATTTCTCTGATTCTTCCTAACTGCTGGGCAATCTCCAAGAACAGAACTGTTGGAAAGCTTCGAACTCTACCAATCTCTAAGAATCAGGCCACTAAGAGAGCTAAATCTCCAGCCCTAATAAAATCTCGTGCAGCCGGCTGGGAAGAGCTTAAATGAGATTCAGGAGCAGACCTAAACCTGCTCTGATACCAACTTGAAGTTACTGAAGTTAGCAGAATTGTTTTCGGGTGAAAAAATAATTCAGAAAGAAGAAGAAGAAGAAGAAGAGAAATGGGGGCAGAATGTTATGTTGATGCCGCCCTAAACAGTATTATTTATATGTTTTTAACATAACATGAAGTAAAAAGACAGAAGTGCCCTGATGCTTATAATAGTACAAGAAAACAAGAAGAAAGCAAAAAATAAGCAACAAGATAACTGAATGCATGGGACCACAAGTAAATATATCAGGTCTGGTCCACTGTATCACTACAATTCATAATAAACATATCCAAGATGGTGTACTCATAGCTAACAAATTAATTGACTCAAGAAAAAGGAGTGGTAAGAAGGGTCTGGTGTGCAAAATCAATTTAGAGAAAGCCTATGACCATGTAAACTGGGCTTTCTTAGACTACATGCCGAAGAGGATTCACTTTGGGTAAAAGTGGAGGAACTGGATGAAGGTGTGTGTGACTACTCCTAGATTCTCAATCTTTTTAAATGATCTGACAAGGGGTAATTTTAAAAGCTCTAGGGGTCTTTGTCAAGGAGATCCCCTCTCCCCTCTTTTGTTCCTTTGTGTTATGGAGGGTTTAATTAAGTAGGATGACTGCTAGAGCAGTGGAGAGTAGCTGTTTAGCAAGCTTTGAAATATCTCCAAATGGGGAAGAAATACCTCTTCTCCGATTTGCAGATGACACCCTATTTTTCTGTGGTGCTAAAGCTGAGCAGGTTTTGTCCCTAAGGAACATTCTATGTTGGTTTGAAGTGGTCTCAAGTTTAAAGGTTAATCTGGCAAAGAGTGAAATGGTGGCTGTTGGAGAGGTCGTTAATCTGTAGTCCCTGGCTGACTTGTTGGGTTGCAGGGTGGGTGCTTTACCTTCCTCCTATATGGGGCAGCTTTAGGGACAAAGTGCAACTCCAAAAGCATTTGGTCCCCGGTGGTGGAGAAATTGAAAAGCAAGTTAGCAACGTGGAAGGCAAGGTATTGTCTAAGGGAGGTAAGTTAGTGCTGTTAAAGAGTGTGATGGCCAGTATTCCTTTGTATTTCATGTCTTTGTTTCCATTGCCTGCGGAGGTAGCTTCAAAATTGGAGAAAATCATGCAAAACTTTCTTTGGGTGAGGTGGAAAGACTCCAACAAATTTCACCTGGTAAGTTGGGATCGGATTTGTAAACCAGTCAACTGTGGTGGTATGGGAATCAGAAAGTTGAAGCACTTCAACTTGGATCTTCTTGGGAAATGGTTTTGGAGGTTCCTCCAGGAGCCTAACGAACTATGGAGACAATTTATAGTGCAGAAATATGGATTCCACAGTAATGGGTGGGATCCGGCTGAGTCCAACCTCTCTTATGGGTGTTGGTGTGGAAAGCGATTTACAAAGCCTACCCACAGTTTCTGAAAGGAATTAATTATAAGGTAGGGAATGGTTCCAGGATGAATTTCTGGTCTGATCCTTGGTGCACTGATTTCTCTTTGAAAGAATTGTTTCCTGATCTATTTCAGCTGGAGACTGATAAAGAAGATTTGGTGGCCGAGGTTTCGATGTTTCAGGAAATTCTTCAGGTTATAGATCTGTTAAGAAGGCTGCAGGGCGTCAAGATAAACTCTTTGGTTCCAGATCAGTGCTTTGGTGTTAGTCAAAGGCTGAAGTCTTTTCAGTGAAATCCTTTTATTCCAGCTTGGTGCCTGCTTCCCTTAGCTCTTTCTCCAGTCATTTAGTGTGGGGTAGTGTGGCCCCATCTAAAGTGAAGTTTTTTGTTTGGGTGGCTGCTGAAGAAAAGTGTTTGACGAAGGTAATGCTGATTAGAAAAAGGAGTAGTGCTATCAGATGTAATCTGTGCTTTATGTGGGAAGGAGGAAGAATCTTCAAACCACCTGTTTCTCCACTGTGATTTTTCTTCAAAAACCTGGGCCCACTTTTTAAAAGCTATTCAGTGCTCTTCTTGCTTGCCTGTCTTGGTAAAGACCCTTCTAGAAAGTTGGGGGCATGAGCAGAAAAGGCAGGATTCTGTGGAAAGCAATTCCTCTAGCAGTGCTGTGGTCAATTTGGAAGGAAAGAAATAGGAGGATTTTTGACCATAAACAGCTTCAGGTTGAAAGTGTGATAAATTTAATTGTAGATGACCTCAGAGGGTGGCTGAGTTCCAATTTGCTTTTCAAGGGGGATGTTCTGGCTTCTTGTGTGGCTGTAAATTTTTTTGAGGGATCTTAAAGCTGTTTTCAGTTGTACAAAATCTTGTACAGTGAGCAGTTTTGCTTGCTTTTATCCTTTTTATTAATATAATTTTACCTTACCTTTTCAAAATAAAAAAAAAAGAGTGGTTCTCTTGGGTAGAATTTTGACTATTAATCACTTGAAGAGTAGAGGATTAAGATGCAGGTTAAAAAGGACATGGGTTGTAGTGAGAAATGATTTGAGGGGCCATAATTAACAATTGATATAGCACTTTACAAAGCTGAACAAAGCACTGAACCCATTAAAAAGGACATGGGTGAGTCCTGTGATGGACAGGCTGAAAGTCAGGTCGAAGATGGCATGATTTTTGAGGAGGTTGAAATTGGAAGACTGGGTGTTGATCTGGGTCGAAGGAGAAAAACAGAGGAAAAGGATCAGTCTAGTGGGTTAAACAGCAAGAAATCATGGAATGTGAGGACCCGTAATATAGTGCATGTGGCAAAGATCTTTTCAAGACTAAAATTCAGCTTGGCAGGGACAGGACCTACAAAACAATATAAATGGGTGTACAGAAGGAAAAGGGTGACGGGTAACAGGACAAGTGGTAATGATCATAGAGAGGTAACAGTGCAAGCTAAGTCACAGGACCCCCTTTCGTTTAAGGAACAACAGGAAAACAAGGTGAATGATGTTGACCCTGAATCTGGTTCGATACGGCTGAGGCAGGAAAATGATGTTGATGAAGTTTCAGGTAAGGTAGACATACAAAAATTGGTGGATAGAGAGGTCACAGTTGGGAAAAGCTTGGGTCTAGGAAATTGAAGAAAGGAACAAGGAAGAGAAATTTTCTAGGAAGGCTTTCGGAGAATTTGAAAGAAAAAAAGAGGAAGAGAATTTGAAGAAAAAAGCACAGATGGAAAGGAACATGAAATGGGATGAGGAACTCTCGAATCAAGAGGATGAGTTCACAGATGAAGACTGATGTGGGAATCTGGAAGGGTTTTTGTTCTTGATTAGATTGGGGGTGGCTTCTAGCTTTTTTGTGGTTTTTGTATTGGGTCTGTCTCGTGATCTTTTATCAGAGTTGTTTGGGTAATCTTTTGTACAAGGTGTGATTTTTTAGGATCTTTTTTGGGTTTTCTGTGGGTGCTTCTTGCTTCTGGTGATGTCTTATCACCTCCTTCTGTACTTCATCTTTTCTTAATGATTTTTTATTTGATTCTTCAAAAAAAAAAACAAAGAACGACAATACCACGAGAAGCCAACCCATATAGTTAGGAAAAGGCTTGGTTGAGTTTATTTTTGTACATTGCAAGAAGGGAAGAAGAAGACTGAGTAAAATGGGGGTGAGTGCAGCTTAGTGTCTCTTAGTAGGATGCCAGCACTAAAACAACTAAGCAAGAACCAAATAAAAAACAGGCCCAGGCCCACTAATACAGCTTAAGTAACATAACAAAATAAAAGAAGGCCCAGTACAAGATGCTTAACCTTTACAACAATTTTCATTTACAACAAAAATGAAGATATGAGATGATTATTTATCTCATTCAAGGTTGTAGTTTTTAGTTTTTTAGTGGTATTTCAATTTTTCACTACTTAGGAAGCTATTATAGTGGGTCTATTCATCCTAAAAGTTTTCACTATGCTTGCCTTTCAGAAGTAAGAAAGGCAAAAAAAATATTTAGTACCATTCCCTTTTCAGTTTATTGGTGATTACATTTGAGGGAAATATTGACATAACATCTCTTGTTTTTTATTAGTCAAATGGTTCATCAAATTAATTTTAGGTCATTGTCTTTTTCCTTTCTTGTTTTTTTTGGTAAGATACTTTCTCATTGTATATGTAACCACCGAACATGACAAATTGCACAAGTGCTTCATATAAAAATTACCCTAAATTATTTTGATTTTCATTTTTTATTGTAATTAGATAATTAAAAATTAGTGAATAAAATTATTTTTACCAAATTAAATCCATTTTTAACGATAACTTATCTGTTACAATTTCTTGAATGAATTTCTATTATTCAAAATATTTATAAAGCATTTTGAGTTAATGGGCAGGCCATTTACGTAATTGGCCTCTAAAGCAAACCAACATTAGATGTAATGGAGATGAATACAACACACACAAACAGACAACACAATTAACCTTTTAGGTGAACTTCTATCGATCTTTTACATCAGAATTGCCTTATAGATAAGATACCTGCTCTGGTTGTTTATTTCTTCTTTTTCAGTAACCTCATTTTCATCATTGCTGCTTTTGTTGGTACTGCTTGTATCACTAGCACCATGCCTTTGTGTTGCACTTTGAGCTAAACGGGACAAACTATCCCGAATACAAAGCCTTATTCTAATATCCAACTGCAAAATGGAGAAAAGTAAGAGCATTTCTCTCACATAATGTAATTGAATTCACAATAGACTGGTTATACATGCAAATCACATATACCTTTCCAATAACATCTTGAAATTGCTCAAGTATTGTTTCCTCCAGTGAACACTCATTAATTATCATAGGGACTGTATTGGAATCATCTTGTTCTACAGGTGAACTTGGTTCCAGGGACAAAGAATTTTTTATGTTTTCATCAACAATGTTAGTTGCCACCGAATCTTCGCTTTGTTCCTCTTGTAGGCAAGATTGGGCAATTGAGTGGTTGGTACAACTGACCTGATGACTAATCTGCTGCTGTTGTTTCTGAATGGCAAGCATTGCTTGCATCTGCTGCCGTCGTCTTAACTTCTCAATTTTTTCCTGAGGTGTCATGGTTGAAGTATTGGCAGTGACATCTACTGACTTCTTTAAAGAATTTCCTTGCTTAGATGCTCTGGGAGAATATTCATAGCTGACAAGGACTGGTTGGTGCTTATCTCCTTCAGTGTGAACTTGCTGTGACAATGGCATTACAGGATAATACTGTGCAGAATATCCGTACCCAGGGGCAAAACAAGAATTGGAGTTGTGCATGTATCTCAAAGACTCGGGCTCTCCAAGCAGGTGTTGTGGACTGAGAACTGAAGATGGAATTGTTTGTATAGAAGAGGTTGCAAATGGGTTTCCAAATTGCGGATACTGATTTGAGGAAGGAGACCAGGCACTGTACAAATCTTGTGTCAATCCTCCATTTGTTTCTTCTGACTTTACCCGACATTTCAAAAGTCTCTTTTGCCTATTTGCCTGTATATATGTGGAAATAATATGACTCAAAAAATCTCATAATTACAGAATAATACAAAATGTTTCATTACATAAAATAGGCAGGATTTAGTACAATATAAGACCTGAGAAATCTCATTATTAGTATCATGCAATCCTTCAACACCCATATATCTTTATTCATTTAATGGAAATTGAGATAGTTGCAATGATGAATATGACTGCTATAAAGTATCAGTGTTACAAGTCCATCCCATTCAAATGTATCATCACTAGTAATGATAGCATATTCTTACAGCCTAAATTATAGCCCTGGATGAAACAGTCGGATTCATCTTCATCCTGAAAGTTTAATGTGCAGGTTGGATTCTAACTGAATATCAATAAATACATATATCTGATACATATCAGCTTTGGTCTATACCAATATGATATGCCAATTTGCACACTGGGTATCCTTTTCTTTTATCATAAATAGAAAATTTATCAATGACCAAAGATGAAGGTACATAGAAAATGTAGGACCTCCCAAGCCAAAGGGACATAAACCATGGCTAGGAAGCCAAAATCACACAAAGTACAAAAGATATTCTCATCCTCAAACCAACACCATGATAACTAGACTGGAAGACCTACCATTGATAACCATATTATTAAGTTATGTTGAACTGTATCATAATTTCAATAATGAATCATTGCAATCCAATCAATGAGGATTGATACTTCCAAAACAGTGTTTCTTGTAGTTCTACATGCTTGTACTTAGTTAATCTGAATACTTAATTTGAGATGAGTTGAGAGATTGTGGTGGCTCTGACCCCCTGAGGATCCTCCCCCAACATTGTTTGCTTCCATAGTCCGATCCTATGCAACCATTACACCCTTAGATGTGATTCAGTCCAATAAAAAGAAGAAGAGTTTGATGGTCTCCTCTTCCACCTCTCTTATCTTTTATTAATCTTACTAACATTGAACAAATTACAAGTCTGCCCATAAGTGGGTGTCCAGCTCCTCATACATAAAGAAAGCATAGAAAAGAATTAAAGGCCCATTAGTAAACAAAACAACTAGGAAGAACTAACAATAAGATAGTAATGGGCTAGGGCCCATTCGGCCTAGTCTCTGTACACTCCCCCTCAAGCTAAGTGTAGATATCAATCATGCCCAGCTTGTTTATATAGTGAATCAGCTTTCCTTTAGGAACACCTTTTGTCAAAACATCAGTCAATTGTTCTCTAGAAGCGATAAATGGCAGGCAAACTTCTCCTGAAGCAATTCTCTCCCATATAAAATGCCTATCAACCTCTATATGCTTAGTTCTGTCATGTTGAACAAGATTATGAGCAATGTTGATAGCGGCCTAGTTGTCACAGTATAGCATCATTGGCTTCTCACAGTCAATGCCCAATTCTCCTAAAAGTGATCTCAACCACAAAAGTTCTGAAATTCCATCTAGCCACTAGGTCCACTACAAACTGCTTCTTACTCCTTCATGACACAATGTTCCTTGCCACCCTGAAGTGGATCTCCTATCGTTAATACATCTAGCCTAGTTTAGCATCAATGTATGCTTCCAACTTCATGTGTCCATGCTTAGTAAACAAGATACCCTTTCCTGGAGTCCCTTTCAGGTAACACAAAACCCTCTCTACAGCTGCTAAATGTGTATCTCTAGGAGAATGCATGAATTGACTAATAACACTAACTGCATAGGAAATATCTGGCCGAGTCATGCAAAGTTATAACAACTTCCCAAGTAGTGGAACACCCCCCTATCAGCCAACAGTTCATAATCAATAACTAAGAGCTTGTGATTGAGGTCTATAGGAGTGGATGCTGGTTTAGCACCCAGTTTACCGGTCTCTACAAGTAGATGGACATACTTATGTTGAGAAATGAAGATACCATCCTTAAACCTAGCAACTTTAATTCCCATGAAATATCTGAGTTCATCCAAGTCTTCAATCTCAAACTTAGTGTTAAGACACCTTTTGAGCTGAATCACTTCCTGAGTATCATTACTAGTAACCACAATGTCATCAATATAGACAATCATAAGGGTCACCAAGGAATCTCTCCTCTTAACACATAGGGTATGATCAGATTGGAATTAACCCTGGAAGGGTACACATATGCTAATTGGGTAGGATCATCAATGGACAGGAGATCTACCATAGGTTATTATACTTGGAAAAGTAAGAAATATAGTGTGGTAGCTAGAACCAATGCTGAAGCAGAATATAGAGCTATGGCACATACAACTTTTGAATTAGGCTGTTTTGTGATAACCAAGCTTCCACTCATATTGCTTCTATTTCAGTCTTCCATGAGAGAACTAACCCAATCTTCCATTGCTTCCAATCCTTCTGTTATTTCTCTTGCTTTCCTATCTTTTATCCTCTCCCGGGACCTTCTCCCAAGGGAAAAACCCTAGGATAAACTCAATAAACCATGACCAGGACTAGGGCATTAGACAACTCAGCAAAGGAAAAGAAGAAGGGAAAAAGGAATAGAAAAAACAGCGGCTGATCTGAAGTCAAACCAGAAAACAAACTAGGTTTTTTTTTAAAGTATTGGGGAGTATACAAAAAACTGCTCTAATTGAATCACTCCATGCTCTAATAAATATAATGCTAGGTTTTTTTTAAAGTATTCCCTAGCATTATCTGATCTGAACACCTTGATCCGCACACCAAACTACGTAAGAACCATCTAATGAAACTGTCATACTAAAATGGTCACCTCATCACGAGATCTCATCAAATATACTCATGAATATCGAAAATGATCATCCATAAATAAAAGAAAATAACTATATCCACCCATACAAGAAACATGGTATGGTCCCCAAATATCAGTGTGAACAATATAAAAAATTGAAGAACTTCTTTTATTACTTGATTGAAAAGAATGCTGAAATGCTTTCCAAGTTGGTAGCCCTCACAATCTAAACTGGACAACTTAACAAACAAATAACTTTCGAAACAAAAGAAAAAACGTAAAGAACCAAAAGAGAGATTCCCATACCAATTATGCCAAAGCATAATTTGACCCACTGATTATTTTGGTAACAAGGAAGCACATCGAGTAGGTAGGTTACATTCACCCCATGACCACTCCCAATCATCCTCTTTGACTCTAGACTTTGCAAAACACAATGACCATGAAGAAATATTACTGAACAATTCAAAATTTTAGTTAAACTACTCACAGGTAAAAGATTAGTATGTAGTCTAGGAATATGAAGAAAAAAGCATGGAAATGTTGGTCATATGTTTAGAAGCTCTTGAGCCTATAACCCAGGGAGGTCACCCCTTACTTGTAGTGGAGACATAATTTGTAGTAGCATATGAAGTACCTATATGAGCAAATGAAGTAGTATGACCAGCTCTTGAGCTACTTGTACCTTGCTGCCCACCAGGTGAAGAACTGAAACTAGCTATATCTTTTTTACTCAAATGCTACCAATATCTCTCCAACTCACCCCTGGCTGCGGCTAATACAATTTACTCTAAGGCTAGTGTACGAGGTCCAGATGAGTCTTCAATTACTGCCATATTAGCATTCCCCTTATTATTTTTAAGCCAAACTAGTATAAGATTCCCTTTCTTATTTTTAAGCCGAACTGGTATAAGATGTGGGTAAAGCTTCAAACAAATGTCTCTGGTATGCTTAGGCTTCTTATAATAGTCACAAATCAAATCCTTCTTGTCCTCTTTTTTACTTTCACTATCACCCTTATCCCGACCAGGCTTAGGTTTTACTATGCTAACTATAGCCGGCTACTCAATGATTAGATTCCTCATCATAACACTCCTACTCTCTTCTCCAAACACAAGAACATATGCCTAGGAAAGAGTTACACTATCATGGGAAAGAACATATTGTCCAACAATGTCATAGTTCCCAAAACAGCTTAAAACTTCAATTGTAAACAAGAAAACACCTCTAGAAATAGATTGATCCCCTTTGGAAACCTCAAAAAAAAAAAAAAAAAAAAATCTGACAACTAAAACCCTTTACCCAAAGATATTTCTGTCTACTCAGAAAATTCCATAAATTGAATCATCCCCTGCAAAAAACTTCAAGGAATCAAAAAAAAATTTAAGCACCTCTTCCTAGATAAAAAACAAAGAATCTTGCTACAATCAAGATTCTTCGTCCTCTAGTTCTTCCTGACTTTAATGATCAACCCAAGATCAAACACATAGGGTTCTAGGTCCACGAAAAACTCCAAGATTTGGGCCCTTTTGAAGTCTTCGATCAGCTCTCTATCTCCCCATGCGGTTGAATGATCTAGGGATGCATGGGAGAATCTCAAGAATCCCTAGGAAAAGCTCTAATACCAAGTAGAAAGCTAAGAAAAATAAACTGATTTGTAACAGAAATAAAAGGAAAAGAAGAAGAAAGGTTTCTTAGAGAAAAGAGAACAGAAGAATGAGAAAAAGAGATGAGAGAAGCCAATGTCTAGCCGCCCCACTCATTAGTTTATATATTCACTGATTAAAAAAAGATAATGTCTAATATGTCCTTAATAGGTTGGCTGCCGTCAATAACATAAACAGAACTTAAAGAAACATTAAATATTGGACCTTGGGCCCAATAACACTAAATTAAAAAAATAAAATCATTAACTACTAAAATCTCAACAATTGTTAATAGTTGATCGGTTGGGAAAAAACTACCTTAGCATCTATCATGGAGACAACTAAGAGTGAATCAAATGTCAAAGACGAAGGATTTGTACTAGGGGCTGGAAGTTTGCCAAACAACACCTTTCATATCACTACTATCAAGTTTGATTGAACTAATTACTTAGAATGGGAAGGAGTGATCATTTTCTTCTTCTGGAGGTTTTCATGCCTCCAGTTAGTGGTGCAGCAATCATTTCAGGTGGTTGGTAGAAAACCATCTAATTGATGGATTGAAGAGGGTTGTTTCAGATAGTGTAGTGGACAGACTAGTGCAGGACAGATTTGTGTGGTTCAAATAGGTGAGTTGCATGGGTGTTACAGTGTGAG